TGGTGTCTTTACTAGTGCGCATGCGGTATGTTTGTTCCTGTATTTATATGCCCTGGTTGTGAGGAGGGTATAGTGTTGTGTAATTTTGTATAGTATTTGAAATATAGGGTTGTGTGTGTGTGTGTCGATGTTGGTGTCATTCATATGTAAATCTTTTTTACTGGTTTTGTAAATATGGTATTTCTCAAGTGTATTTAAATATTTTTGTTTTCTCCCCGTTATGATTTCCACGGTGTCTGCTATTTTGCCCTGTGTGTGTCCGCTGTTCAATACACGCATATGACTTTAATATCCGGAGTTACTATTACTTCTTATGTCGTGCATGTGTTCTTTATATCTGGTTTTGAATGTTCTTCCTGTTTTTGTCCGATATAGTCTAATGGGCAATCCTAGACATTTCATTTTATAAATTCCACTTCTATTATACTTATCTACTTGTGGCTGTGGTTCGGTAGTACTATTTGAGAAACTTGCAGCACCTGAAGGTGACCCATTTGACGTCGAAACATGTAGAGCGTGCTATAAAGTAAATAAATATTAAAGTATTGTTGCGTTGACGGTAAAAATTATGTATGTTCAGTGGGGTGATAGATGAATCATAAATTGGAAGGGATTAGGACAAATTTGGCTTGGCCTAATCCTATTGCGGAATTTGCCTGGAGGGGGTGTGGAAAACCACAGTATATCAGGCATATCCGGGGTCCCGGCCGAAATTCAAACCGACGACCTCCCGAATACGACTGTCACCGCAGCATCATCCAGCACAGTTCTCCATTACATTACGTTCCCTGGATCCAAAAGCTAGTCATAATGACTGTAGGATGTGGAAAATTACACATAAATACAAAAACACATGGAGTACAGCTGAAGTTTTCAAACAAGAAAACACCGTGGTTACACGAGGCTTTTTAAAAAATGCATCCGCTTATATACAATGATACTATGAACTTATGCTATTTGCACAACCTTTGAATGGATAGACGATAACTTTTCACCAGCAGAGAAGAATTAGTGTGTGTTTAAGTATCTTTTCAGTGCTATTTTAAGTCGTGCCTTTTCATTTATAAATATTTTGTGATTGGATGTAAGATTATTGAAAACGTTGAACCCAGCATTCGACCCCATCGTCGGAAGATGCGGGCATGGTATCCACCTCTCTGCCCTTTTAATACCCGTTGAAATCTTTGTGTCTCAAAATTGCATCCCTAGTATCTGATTTCGTGAATATTCTTCAGCAGTTCTCAAGTTGTTGCATGCGCATGGACACAGACAGCCGCGACGGAGATAATGGGCGCATATTTGCAACTTTTAGTTGTTAACAAACGTAAAGATAATTTCTTCCTCACGTCTTACTCTTTTCCAGCCAAAGGTCGAGAAGTTGTTTTCTGAAAATCGCATTCGTTGTCGCTGCAAATGTGACAATTAGATGGCAAGTATGAATACACACTCCAGGAATATAGATGTAATAATAATTGTTAACGACCTTACAGTATATTGCCATGGTAGTGGTATCTCTTTGTACGTTTTTCTCTCAAATATGCAGTAAATTATTGTTTCTTCTGTGTACACTTCAAGATACATTAAATGAAACCGTGCGATACGTGTTCTACAGAATCAGATTAAAAATTAAAGATCATACACGAATGTGTAACGTAATTTCACAGAGGAAAATAACACGTTTACTACGCATATTATTTAACTGTCATGATTTTATGAGCTCTCAATCGTGATGGCGGAGAATGGCTGCGTCCATAATAAGATAACGGAAATTTTCGTTGTTGCAGTCTACACATCCACCAAATTGGGTATTAAACATATCACAGCATGCATTTGCTCTAAGAAAATATTTTCTATTGCTTTATAGCAAACTTACCAAGTCAAATAAAAATAATCTTGTTCACCTAGATTGGGCTAAACAAAAACCAGTGTAGATGTGGCCGTATAGTTTTAAGATTGCCTGCCATGAAATCTCTCCTCACGTTTTATCCAGATCCAAAATTTGGTATATTTCCAAATAAGGTAAAGCTACCCCACGGCCTGTAGGTTTGTGAAACGACGTGGCTCCCACATTTTCTAGACAGTCGGCTTACAGATGGCGGTGAGGTTATTAGCCCAAGGCTCTGTACCCGTAGGAAAATTCCAGCTACTCATTTCTGTTAGAGGCTGAGTCGACCCCAGAGCAATATTGCGGCTGGGAGGATTAGGTTAATCGAAAAATTCTAATGACCTCACCGGGAATCGAACCCGAAACCTTTCGGCTTGTAGGATAGTGCCTCAACCAACTACGCGACCGCGTGCCCCCGGCTTATTTCCAGTGAGTTTCAAAAGCTTTTTGCAGATACACGTGCCCAGCATTAGGGTAAGCGCCCCGCACGCTACGGCCTTGGGCTTGGAACATCTGCACTGCAGTAGCCTCTGACAAGCGGAACGCAAGCAACTTGTGGGTCGGAACTTGCGTATGCCTATTAAATTTTATAACTATTGTAAAACACTGTAAATAAGAATTTTACAGTTAGGGCGAGGATGGACCAATGACAGCGCGGTATACTATCACAGTAACAAATGTTTCTGAAATCCGCCCACTAGCTCCGAAGAGGGAATTAAGCTGACGGACAGAGAGACACTTGCGACCCTGTATGCGTTTTTTTCTATTGTGCATAGAATTCACGAATCTGATGTCGCAGTGGAAGGGTCAGTAAGTGTTATATGAATCCTACGTAACAATTATGTACGTGGGTGGCTGTGACAAATATCGCACGGAGAGAAAAGCACCAAGCTGTTGCCACTTTTGCTAAAAATATCTCGACTTCTCTTCTCTTCTCTTCTGATCCCATGCATGAATATTGCACATCGCGAACGCCTAGTGGTGAGGATATATGGCGCATCCTTAACTCTGATCAGTTTTCGGTAAGCTAATATAACCTGTTTTACAAGATGTGAGTTGCTAGTGTTTGGTTTTTAGGTAGGGATTGCGACTTTCTTTATTATGCTCTCTACACAAGATTTCTTTATGGTTTCATGTACGGAGTTTTCAAGTCATATCTGTCTTTTGTGAGTGCTTTGCAAGAGAAACAAATTTGTGAGTGGCTGGAGAAACTTCTGATCAAATGAATTCGTATGTTATTTGCACGAAGGTCAGCAAATAAATATACAGTATAGACGAGGTCCCGTCCTTCCACACGTTTATTTCTGAAATTGTTTGATGGGTACCCCAGACCTTATAAAGAGATATTCATGTTGGTTTTTGTCAATTCAGTACATCACTTAACTTTACATGAATCCCAAACCGAACTTAACAACTTCCTTTAGAAGAAATTAATTGTACGAAGAATTGGTGCCTGACATAACGTGTAGATCTCATTAATACAGCTTTTATTTGAAATATTCTATGTCTTGAATTTTTAAAAAATAGCAAATTGGCAGATAATTTATCGTAGCGCATTTTGGTAATGTGTTGGCGCTTCCAGCGATACGTTTGTACATGCAGTAAATACACGTAAATATCAAGCAGTGAGGTATGTGAAATAGTGGAGGTCTCATTTGAAATACTCTAATAAGTATAGAATTCCAATACTGTTTTGTATTGAATTTGAAACTTTGGGCTTATGCACTTAATGTGTTTACATGAGCTCATTTCAGGCGGTATATGCTGAACTGTTCGAAACGTGTGGCATATATTTGTGACCAATTTACTGTTAATTACCGCTAATATAATGCTTTGGTTTTTGTACATTTCTTGATTTATTTAAAAATGCTTTATGAGCGCAATAGATTGTATTATATATTGGAAAAGGCGTGAAAGGAAGCAGTCATGGCAAATTTTATGGTATTACATCAGCATTTATTTGGTGATACTGAAGGGAGTAGCAAAATGCTTTGAGACTAGCTGGAACTTGGAACCTCTTGAATTTTGTGTATTACGGCTAGCCACTGAATGTCAAACATCCACCCTCTAGTTGAATGCAAGGAAAAATAATTTGTTATGAAAAGACACTATATCAGTTACTGGTTTGTGGCATGATTAGTAAGGGAAATAGAAATATTTTGAATATGCCATGTAGCATAATTTTTATGTGTTACAAGTTGAAGGGATAGGTTTGAACATTGATCAGATGTTTGGTGAAGGTCTGTCAGCTGCAGCTGCCTAGTGTGATATGCAGAAGAGATCACATATGGCCACCATGAGATTCAAGTACCCTATATTAATCTTGGAGCTGTAGTACCATTCCTTAACCATAAATCATGATTTTCACTGTCAGAAGTGTAAGTAGAGAGAAATGCGAGGAATACTTTTGTAAAGGAATGAACTGCAATATAAGAGTAAGCTGTGATCCAGTATTTGCTGGCATTTTGTTTTCTTGCTGTTTTAGCTTGATCATGTGACACAATTCAAAGTTTGAACTGTCCTGATTAAGGTGCAAAACAGTCAGTTGTAAGTGTAGTTACCAAGCTGAACGTCAGATTCAAATTTAGAACAGGGTTTTATGGTTTTAATTTTTCCCGAAATACTTGAAGCAACAATAAAAATAAAATGTTTATTTGCACATGAACATTTATGTGATAAGGGGGTTAACATGTTTGTCATCAGCATAGTTGATTTATAAATGTGTAGCATTCATGTAGAGATTGAAAAATGCATGTAAAATTGTTCAAAACTTCAAGGAAAGAACCACATTTGAAACCTAGGCATAGAAGGTAGGATAATGTTTATGTGGCCCTTATAGAACCTTCCCTTCCCATAAAATGCTGGGAATTTCTTGCCCAAATATATCTTCTCAAGAGATCCACACTATTTAGTTGGTCGCTCAGTTAATTAACAGTTTAAAGTGAAGACAGATATGTAATTCTTACCCTCAGCTTTAAAATTATGAAGTCGTTGTTTATTACCTTCTAATTTATAAAAATTTAGTGTATGCTTTCATATGTAACATGCAGTTTATTTCATCAGTGGACAGTGACTGAATAATTTTATGATTGTAGTTTGTGCTTCCTGTGTGCAGGTTGTGAAGGAGAGTCACAGCCACATGCCCCTGCTGTTGAGCTAGAATCTCTACTGATTCGCTTAGAGAAAGTAACAACTCGTTTGGAGCAAACTGCTGGGGTTGCGAGCGAATCGCTGTTCAGGCAGCCTGCTTCTCAAATCTCAGGTTCAGAACACTTGCCACTGCCTTCATTGCAGCAACCCCCACCACCATCAGAACTCACAGAGGAGCCCACACACAAGATGAGTGTCGCTGCATTCAATGATATCCTACAAGGTTCGCTATCCCAATACTTGCAGTTGTCAGCAAAACTCGGTGGTGATGTGGCCACACATGCGAAACTTGTTGAGAAAGCCTTCCAGTAAGTTGTTCCTGCACATTTAAATTGTTTTAGATAGGTATGTGATTACTTGAGGGTAAGAACATCTTCTGTGATATGGAGTATGCATTCTTCATAGTCTTGCTTTCCTGACTGGCCCTAGTTTTCACTTTTTGCAGATACAAATCTGTTTTTGCAAACCTAATTGCACTACAGATATCCCAGAGTACAGAGGCAGAAATTATTTTCCCTTGTATATATGTCATTACATATTCACCTTGAACCAACTCAACAAACAGATCCCCTCTTTACAAGTTATTAATCTTATATCTTTTGCAGAAAGTGTCGGCATTTTATGGAACCTGAAACCTCTTTACTGTATTTATATGAGCTGCCAACTGAACCCTGTTCCTAGCCAGATGAATCCAGTCTGTACTCTCCTGCCTGTGCTCTTGTCTTCCAAGTGATCTTTCCCCTTTAGGTTTTTCAGCTAAAAGTTTATAGGCATACACTCATTCTGTTTCATTCTGCATGCACCACTGATTGTATCTTCCTTGATTTCATCACTCTGACACTTCTAGGAAAGAGTACAAATTATGAAGCATGTACATACTCACCATATTTGAAGAGCCAGAAGAAATTTTAATGGGATACATACACAGACCAAAAACTAAATTGCCTTCCTAATTCTCCGCCTGCTGGCCTTATATACATATTCCAGTGTATCTGTCCATTGGAGAAACAGTTTGAAGTCCTTTCAGTACTGTTGTCACATTGCTATGAATACCTGCATGTGATTCAGAATGAGAGCCTTTCAGTCAGGTTCTTAGTTTCAAGGACAAGAAGGATGTAATATGAGGCCAAATCAAGCGAGTCTGCTGAATATTCAAAGATGTGTATTTGTTAGTTTTTGGTCAAAAATTGCTATGCTGGAAGCACTTTGCCATGCTGCAAAATCCAGTTGTGCATTCAAGGATTTTATCTATTTCTTGATGAATTTCCTGCCATAAACTACCCGAAGTTTGAAGGTAGGGTGTGTGGTTGACCCTATTTTGGAGGAACATATAATTTCTTTGCTATAAAAGCAGTGAAATAGATGAGCATAATTTTGATGTGTACATTCCTTTTTATCTTGGATACTCCAAAATTTTTTTCATCTTAAACTCTAGCTTTTTTATGTCATACTAGAAGACGGAAATATCATTGCTCTTCACTGTTTTTCTGAGAACCTTCTAACCGCCTTTCTGAAAAATCTGAGCAAATTTATTTTCTTGTCATTTGCTGACAAAGAAAGCACCTCACTAGTAAAACACCATAAAATAAACTGAATCCCAGTGATTCTTTCATATAAATCTGCTTACATCATATAGTGGACTGGGCCTACATGCACCATCATGCCAGTTGCCAGATACTGCACAAAGACATGAGTGATTGTTTAGCTGTAAGACCTCAGATGATAATTTTCTATGCAATGTTGCTCTTTTGATTAGTTTTAGCAGTAATACAATACATGACTATGTTTGGTGTAGTATGTGTACTGTTACATCTCTCAGCAAAGCACATCTACAACACTAGGAACTTCCAATGTTAATAATATTTCAGTTAGAGTTGGGCTGTCTGAAGGTTGAAGGGGGCTCCCTGAAACTTAGGGTTCAGGTGTTCTTGGAATGTGATGCTGCATACATAGGTCAGATAAAAAGTAGTGGCAACACCTGTATAGTTCTGAAATGACTTTATTACCTGAGGTAAACACACTTACATTCCTTCAATATAATCGCCCCCCATGTATACCACCTTCTGCCAAATTTGTGGAAGGGGTCGTACACCATCAGTGCATCCACTTCTGTTGATGTCCAACAGTGACCGCCCTACAGCATGAATAATCTCCTCCCTTGTGTTGTAACATGTCCCTCGCAGTGGTTCTTTCATTTTTTCAAAGAGATCATAATCGCACACACCCGTATCGGGTGAGTATGGCAATGTTGCAGTATCTCCCATTGCCAGCGACAAAGGGGATCCTTGACAGCATCAGCAGTATGAGACCTTGCATTGTTATGAAGGATGATGAGGTTCGTTGCCAACAAGTGTCGTTGCTTTCGCCTGAGTGCTGGATGAAGATGTTTATGCAGGAAATTGCAGTAGTAGGCAGAGTTTACTGTCTGTCATTGAGGTACAGTGTGGCGCAGTATCACTCCATCAGTGTCATATGCCATAATGAACATCGCCTTCACATTACTCTGTGTAGGGTGCACTTTCTTTGGACAAGGAGAGCCAGGATGCTTCCATTCATTTGATTGTCGCTTCAACTGTGGTTTGTATGAGCAAGCCCAAGTTTCATCCAGAGTGACGATCCTACCAAAGGAAGTCGTCACCTTCCCTCTGGTACTGGTCCAACAAGTCCTGTGCAGTTGCATAACATTGCCATTGTTGCACCTCGGATATTGTATGGGGTACCCAACGCGCTGCAATTTTGCAGTATCCAAGAATATCGTGCATAATGTGGAGCACAGTTTTGTGACATACGCCTACCTCAGTAGCTAACTCTCACGCAGCCCATCGAATATCGACATCCGGCAAAGAAACAAGAAGCTGAATTGCGTTGTTGTCAACTTGGGGTTATCTTGAACGATGGCTGTCCTGAATGGCATCCCTCCATTCACGGAACAATTTTACCCATCGTGCCACTGTGCGAAATGGCAAAGCAGCATCATCACATGCTTTTCACAGTTCCTAATAACAGGTTTGTGCACTACGACTTTCGTGCAACTTCAATTTTTATCCAGGAGTGTTGTTCTTGTTTCATAAACATGTTGTTAGGGTGCTTGAACTGGGCTCCTGCACTTCAAGATGATGCACAATGCAACTCAATGAAACACAGCCAGAGCCACTCACTGCACTACTTCAACTGAACTTCTGCTATCAGCTACAGACGGTGCTAGTGCCACCTGATGCACATCTTTCATGTTACAGCAGTGTTGCTACTACATATTTATCCAACCCATGTACTTCAGTAGGAACATACCAACTTTTATTGGTAATCTGCGGTCAGCTTCAGGGTAGAAGAAAATTCTACCCGAAGATGGAGGTAGCAGGTTACCATGAAAAGTTGGTGTATTCCTACCAAACTATGCAGCATCACATCCCAAAAGGCAGTAGTCTGCAGCGTATGTTCAAGTTCATTCAGTAGTCACTAAACTACAGGCTGGCTGGCTGGTAAGTTGGGGGTTTTGATTCCTGATAGAAGCAGAGATTTTACTTTTCTCAGCAGTGTTCAGACAGTCTCTAGGGCCCACCCAGACTCCTATGCAGTCGGTATAGGGTTTCTTTCCCTAGAGTAAGATGGGCAGTGTGTGAGGATGAACACACACCTCAATCTGATCCTGGGTTTAAAAACATTTGAAGCCATTCTCCATACATCTTCATATGTGGTACTTAAATACTGGGTAATTTTACATTTCCTTCCTCCCCCCCCCCATACAAATGCAGGATGTGGTACCCAAAATTGACATATTTGGAAATCGTGTTATGTTCTAGGGAGTAGTAAATATTTTCACTAAGAACTTCTCAACTTCTCTTGTTAATTGCCAGGAACTCTTATTAGTGGAATTTTTTACTGTACATTGCCTTATGTGTGTCGTGTTGTCATGGAAATTCTTATGTTACATCATGTTAAAATTTGTTATGTTTTTCCTGAATTTGTTTAGGGCACAATCACAGTTCTTGACATTGGCATCACAGTCTAAGGCCCCTTCAAGCCAGTCTGACATTATGAAGCTCCTGGAGCCTACATCAGCACAGATAATAGCAGTCATAGATTTCTATGAGAAGAATCGTGGTTCGCCTTATTTCAACCATTTAAATGCAGTTAGTGCAAGCATATCAGCGCTCAGTTGGGTTACTGTGGTGAGTGTTTCCTGTTTGCTGTGAAAGGGACTTGGGGATTCTTAAGGAGCAAGAATAACATCAGTAATATGGCCCATGAACTGTTTGGTTTTTGTTCCTGTTTTTCTCCATGTTTTGAATTTAATTTATTTATGCTTTGACCTTTATCATCCGTGCAAGCTGGTTCAGTGGTCCAACTGTTTGGCATTAACCATATTAATCTCATTAGTACCAAGTTTATATCTGGCTGTCAGCACACTAGTAGAGGATGATTTAAATCCAGTTAGCAGCTTCTTCCATCTTACCCTTCTTACTACAGTTTTGGGGGGTTATTGCTGCTTTTGTCTCTGGTTTTGTTGTGTTCTCACTACTCACCTGGTGGACTTGGTTGTCCAAGCTTTGAACATTACCCACCAGAAAAGGAAACAAATTTTATTATGCTGTCACAGAGAGTTTGAAGGAACTACAGTTCTGCAGGCTTCTTAATGCAAATTTGTCTTAAAAACCTGCCATACATTTGCAGGTGGCATCTGCAGCTGTTGATTGGCTAGGTGAAATGAATTTGAGGACTTTTTATAAGAACTTACATTGCTCATACCACATTCACATTAGCATCTGGGGCCCACCCAGCCCCCTGTTCAGCAGGTACCAGGGGCTCTTTCCCCAGGGTTAAAGCGGCCAAGTCATGGAGCTGACTATTGACCTCCAACTAGTGCTACATCTACTCCCCCCTTATGCCTTCATGGTGTGGTGCTTAATTAGTTAAGCGCAGGGAGGACTTTACCTTTACCTTAATATTAGTATTTTCTAACTAACTGGTCTTTCACAGGCAGGCTTATTCCGTTAGTTTTCAGTGTCACCCATTTAATTGTTAGTTGGTGGTGATTTCCCACTTACATTCTGTATGAACTCTGTGATTTTCCAAGACTCTATAATGTTGTAGCAGAAGGGATATTATGGCTGGAGGGAGAACCACTATTCTGGCTGGAAATGTGGTAAGTCTCTCTGCCATGTGCCATATGATTGGTTACAATTTTTAAATTATCTTTGGAGATTCTGGTATTTGTAATTTGTCAGGTCCTTTTGAAGCTTCTTTTTTGTTAGCATTTAACCCTGTGTGTGGCCTACCAAGTTTTTTGGTCAAAGTGTTCTTCTGTTCTTCTTTTGTGCTGTGTTCAAGCAGACATTAATATTTTCAGTGAGACACCATTTTCATAGGCTTGCATAAATCATGTACCATAGTTTTTGACTACAGTGTTTTGTTAGAAATGTGTGTGAATTACGAATTTTGGAATAAAATGTATGTATTGCCATACTTTATACTTTAACAAGATTGCTTCTCCATTCCAGGCATCAGTCCCAGTTCCTTATGTGAAGGAAATGAAGGATGCTGGACAGTTCTATACTAACCGTGTACTGAAAGACTGGAAAGAAAAGTAAGGGTACCGTGTTTGTTTGTGGTAAAAAGAACTGCTGATATTGATGGAGATATGTGCAATATTTGGTAGTTAAATTCTGCAAGAAAGTGCACAGCACTAAGGCAGAGAATGTTCTTTCAGCTACAGTAGTCCCTTGTTTAACATGGTGATTGTGTTCTGTTGTTTAATGTCGGTATCGAAACTATGTTGTCATAGGGTTTGATAATGCGGGGATTAATCAGTACAAGGAATCAGCCTCTGAAACATGCATGTACAAAAGCTCAAGTTTTCATTATAAACTAGTTGGTATGCACATACATACTATAAGAAATGGCTTCATATGTATTGTACACATATTAAAAAGAGTAAAAGTTAGCATAATATGGTAATTTGAAAATACACACTGTACTACAAAGTAACTTCAGTACTGTATGGCTACTGGTTTCGTTCATCCTCAGGTGTATCTACAGGTTCAAGGTCATTCACAGGCCCATCCCTTGACTTGAGTCTGTGAGCCTGAGTTGTACATTTACGGAGGGCCAATGATGTCAGGCAGTGTCTCATAATAGATCGCTGCTTCATCTTCCATTTCATTGCCTTCTGTACTTCTCATTTCTCCGCTTTTTCTACACATGAATCATGACTTTAATAAGTACTTCTGCACTCTTCAGTGTGCTTATTTTATCACTAGTCATAATGGCTACTTGGTTTCTTGAATTGCTCCGACAGAAAGTCAGTGATATGAAAATGTTTTCCAACAGATGCTACACTTTGACCACATTCTAGTTCCAAACAGTGTTGACAGCAGGTGTTAACACTAGTTTATATTAAAAGTTTGGGTGTAGAAAGAAGACACAAGTATAATGTATTGGAATTATGATGAGAATATGGACAGTGCTGGAAACTTGTATCTCAGGCGTGTCCCTCACAGAGCTAAGAAGGGGACAGAAAAGTGTGGCAAAAATCTGTAGGAGAAGGAACATACTGATAATTATTTATTGCAGTTAATATCTCTGTTTTATTTCTCTTATAGCATGAAGAATAATGTCATGCAGCTGTTGTATGAGAGCTGGAAATGGTGGAATGCAAAGTCCAATTCTTTATTCTTAACTTTGTTTTGCCCTTTGTGTTTGTTCTGAAGGAACGAGACCCATGTGGACTGGGTGAAATCCTGGATTCAGACATTGACAGAACTCCAACAGTTTGTAAAACAATATCACACAACGGGCTTAGTTTGGAGTGGTCAAGGGACTGCTACAGTGCCACCACCTCCACCAGGCCTTCCCCCACCTCCTCCGCTGTTGCCAGTTGGAGATGTTGCTCCTTCAGTGGACGGTTCTTTGGACCGATCAGCCCTTTTCAAAGATATAAACAAGGGTGAAGCAGTTACTTCAAGTAAGTGTGAACAATATTTTGGGGAGGGGATTATTTCCATTATCACATGACTCTTCATAGAAATGGTCCGCATCTTCAGTCCACCCTTTTATATTCGTGCTTCTCATTTGTCATTGTTGTCTTTTATCCATTTGGACATTTGCATTTATGTTTACTTCGTACATGCTTCACATACACTTAACACTTGATTTTATGTGGGACATCCATCACTTGGTGTGTAAGTTATTTGGTGTTACTAATTTGAGAGTTCATACATCCTTGGTTTTCTGCCTGTTGAATAAATAAAACTGAATGGTCCAGCTGTATTATATGTACTCTGTACTTGCAATGATGGGAAGGAAGTGTGGAATATTATTACAAGAAGTGCTTTTAACTTGTCCACCAAGTAGAGAATGTTGTGATGAAAATAGAGTTTATAATGAGTCTCATAATGCACTGTGTGCCATATTTAATCATATTCTTTTAAATATGAATATGAAACAGAATTTCTCATACTGATAAACTATATCACTTGGAGAACTGGCTGGTTGGTTGACAATCCTGTCTGTAGCCACTGAACACTTTGTGAGAAAACAGCTTTTCATAAAAATAAATCTTAGACCAATTCACGTATCTGAATCATTTAAAGACCAGAGTGTAGAGAAATGTCCAGGAAATATGCAGTACTGTTTATATTTACACTGTTTACAGGATCATCAGCTTCTTACCTTTGTCATTGAAACACAATTTCTATTTTCCATCTCTCTTGGTTTGTGTGCAGACAGACTGTTGCTTAAAACTAAAACGTTTTGAATGCCATTATTACTGTTAACTGCAGGCTCATCATTCACTGTCACCACAGTAATTTTCATTCAGATCCAAACCATTGTGTTCAGTTTATTTATTTGATATGTGACATGTGTGTTCATATATGCCATAGGCATCAGATGTACTGTGATTACTAAGAGGCCGTGGTGTCTGCAGCAGTGCAGTTAATGAAGCAAAACATATCTGTTACTGACTAGAAACTGCATGGATGCAGAGACACAGTTTTCAAGTCTTGAGGGGAAAATTGGAAAGACTGCAGTTGTGCATCAGCAGTTTTCACTGTTAAGAAATAAAAGGTTTTCTTGATGTTGCCAACAATTTTCTGGTCTTATGACACATCTTTTCCCAGTTCGTATCATTTGTTCTTTTGAGGAGTCATGTGGGGAGAAGTAAAGCAGGGATTCGAGTACCAGATAGCAGGAGTCTGACAAAACTGAATGTAGTATATCCTTTACAGAAGAGCAGTAATTCTTTAAGAGCGTTAATTGTACTAGATAATGAGAAAATTACAAATGGATTTGAATACAGATATTGTAGAACTTGCCTGAGGTTTTAAAATTACAATACAATTTTGTTAGAAATTGAGATGCAAATTAGATTATGTAGAACCTATAGAACCTAAAAAGTGTAATTATAGTTCTTTATAGAACTACAGTGGGGCAGTATGAATAACATGTGCATTAGAATTCAGAATGCAAGCAGGAAGATCATCGGACTGAAAAGTGTCCAGTTCTTCATGTTCTTACACTTTGTACCCTAATCAGCCATTCTAATATTCTCATAAGCACTTTTTTTAAAATCTTGCTGATGGTCTCTTACTATTGCCATATCTAACATGCTTCTAAATTTTCAGTTTATTGTGATGTCAGAAATTCTGTTGTTTGCTGCAGGCCAGTATTGTTGATTATTATTGATCATCATCATCATCATCACTGTGTAATAACCCACTAGGTTCCACTATGTAATAAAGTTGTTTATCTGTTGACTCCTCTGTCATGTACAATGTTCAGTTCACTTTACTTACAGGAAGAATTTTGTCTCATATGGCACTCGAAGGGTTTTGTGGTGAATACTGTGTGATTGTTTTAAAATGTTGGTTGGTTGTTAACTTAAACAGTATCTTACATTTGGGTAAATATATTATATAATCTTATTTTGTTGTTATTATTTTTAGGTTGTGTTCACTTGCGGACTAGAACCACGGAGTTGTAGTTGAAGGTCTTATCTGAATGTATAAGTTAGTGAGTTAATGATGTTTGTAATCTTGTTTATTCAAAAACCTTTATCTTATCTTTTTTTTTTAGAAGTTATTTGAATAAACGCTTAGTTTAGTTGACTAAGCACATCATACTTGTGATTTTCCTTACAGCACTGAAGCATGTGACACCAGACATGCAGACGCACAAGAATGCTGCATTGCGGGCTGGTCCTGCTCCCTTTAAAGCACCAGTTGTTTCAAACACTCATAGGCCTGTTAGTGCTCCCAAGCCAGCTGAAAAGACACCAACGCTTTACAAGGATGGAAAGAAGTGGATTGTGGTGAGTGGCATTGAGACTGGTACACTGCCCATTCAGATCTGGCTTGCTGAGATGCTGCAAAAGCAGAACCATTTGTTTTTCTTACATTTCCTGTATACTTCTGTATGAGTCACTAGAATGATGCTGGAGGACTGGCCTTTGCAGCATTATAGTGAATTGGATTCAGCTTGCCTTGACAGGACTTGATTCAGTTACTGTGCCAGCTGCCTAGCACCTGGGAGATTTTCTGCCTGTCAGCCTACATCAGAAGTGCATACTTTGGTATAGCATATTTAAATCTGTATAACATGCCATTTATCGGGCAGATTTCATTGATTTCTTCAGTGTTCAATATAAAGCGTTCTCATTGTAGGATTCAAATAAGGTGGTGGATTTTAATTAATTGTGCAGTAACAAGGATTTTCATGTGATGAGAATTAAAACATTGTCTCATGATAAGTGGCTATAGACAGGGTTTGGATTAGCAGTTGATTTTATTGCACACTTGCAAATTGTAGCTACAAGTAACTACAGCACTGTCACTAATTCAGACACTCTGCAGTTCTTTACAGCATGCACTTAATTGTCTCAGTTTGCTTTGTCTCCAGTGGTTGTCTGGTAATGGCCTCCAATGCTGTAGATCTCTCAGCTTCCATGCTTATCAGGTTCTGTTCTTGTTGGCTGTTGCCTGTCTTGCAACTAACTTGATGTTGCTACACAACAGTGGTCTGTCTGTCTGCCTGCAGACTCTCTGTAGACTGTTGACTGGGACTGACTCCACTGCGTTTCAATTCTCCAGACGTACCCTTGCAGGAACCCAACAGAAAACATTGTTCCTCTGTTGATGTGGGTGACCTGGTATCACTTGTTCCACTTTACTGTCAATGTTGGCCTGGTGCTGGAACGCATTGCAACAATTTCCTGCTGCCTTCCTAATGTTGCGTGATATCACCGCTCTAGTGGATGTGTTTACAGAGCTGCTCCCTACCAGTGGCTGTCTTCCTGGCTTTGCTGTTTCACCTTTCAGATGTCATGCCATAATATAATAACCATATTTTTAATTTTCTCTTTTGTTCACCACATTTCAATTGCATGCAGTCATCATCAGGTGAAATTCAACAGAGTTGACTAAAACATATATAGACTGATCCATTGAAATGTGATAATGTATAAAATGTATAATGAATATAAAAGTATATCAGGTATTAATGGAATTGATCAGATCTGTTCCAGTCTTGCAAGACTGCATGCAGTGTAATGTCTTGTATCCAAGTCACAAGGTAACCCAGTACAAGTATTTGTACCAAGTCATTTTCACAGTAATGTATAGTTATCATAGCTGACCTGCACATGATGGCAAAAAGAAAAATTAATGTTTCTTGTTTTAATTAAATCTACATCTTCTAGCCTGTGACTAGCTACTTTGGTAACTAATATACTGTAGTTCCACATATTTATTGCACATTGAAACTTCTTTGAGAAACTGAATGACTCAGATTTAATTGCCATGAACTCATGCATCTTTTCACTTTTGTTTTATCCTTTGTATGTTGCAGGAACACCATCAAGGCAATCATTCTCTAGTAATTGAAGATAATGTTGAAATGAACAATGTGGTGTACATGTTCAACTGTCGGGATTCAACACTTACAGTGAAGGGGAAATTAAACTCTGTGTTCCTTGATTCATGTCGTAAATCTTCAATCGTCTTTGACAGCCTTGTCTCATCAGTTGAATTTGTCAACTGCCAGTCTGTGCAAATGCAGGTTTGTCATACTAAAACTAATTTTAAAATTTGACAAGGTGCAGAACTTTGATTGTATTTTTAAATCAGTTCATTGTATGATTGTATGTGTGTACTCATCAGTATGTTCAAATATTAATATTTAAAATGGTTTGTTGGACGATCTTGTTATATACAGTGTTCTGCGACATATTGGCTAAACTGTGGGAACATGTTCTGCAGGCCATTTGGAGTAAAAAAATCAATTAAAATATGGGTCAATTTGACGCATATATCGAGTCAAGCACTTTTAAAGTGAACTGGAACTGCTGTAATTTGACTGAGTTTCTGCATGCGGTAGCGTAGTGTTTGGGCACTATGCTACAAGCCAGAAGGTCACGGGTTCAAGTCCCGATGAGGTCATTGGATTTTTTTCAATTGACCTAATCGTTCCAGCTGCACTATGGCCCTGGGGTCAACTCAGCCTCTAACAGAAATGAGTACCAGGAATTAATTAAATAATTTCCCTGGGAAGTAAAGTGCGGCTGGCGCGTAAGGCTGACAACCTTACCACCATCTTTGAGCCAGTTGTCTAGATAATGTGGGACCCTCAACGTCTCAGAACCCTATGGGCCTTCACAGCCTGTTACAGGGATAACTTTACTTTACTTTTACATATTTCGGCCATATAAGGCCATCTTCAGGCATCCTCATGCACTGCACACTAATCAGATATCTTTCCTTTTATACAGTGAATGCGAAGGCACACTTAATACATACAATCAAAAGCACACCAGCGAAATACAGAAACAGCCACACTACATAAAGATACGAAGAAGGAAACATCAAAAACGAAATGAAAGTAATAAAAGGAATGATATTCGATTAGTGCGCAGTGCATCAGGATTCCTAACATAAGCGTTGCCTGAAGATGGCCGAAACATGTAGCATTATAATAATACATATATTTTTTTTTAATTTAATAGTTTTAATAATATCTTCTGCACATAACGACCGCTGTGTGGATTAAAGTGTGAATCAGTGTTATTGATTGTTGCATTATAGACGGAACAGTTGCTAGACTATTAGTGGGACCTCAATGCAACAGGATGCTTAAATATAATATTAAGCAGTGCTAATTCTGATGCAGTTCCGCAGTATATTCCACTTCAGCCATTCGTTTTACATCTTCAGCCTGTTTGCTTTCTCCTCTTCCTTCTAATAATATCCATTTTTCTGGCTGTTAAGGTTACCTATATCATTTCATTAAATATCCTTATCACTGTACTGTTTTTTGTGCTTAATGTTTTTATCTGTTGACTCCACAATTTGGGCCATCTACTGTGTCTTTATTTTAATGTCATTCAGTCTTACTGCTTGGCAGAATCATCTCCAATAATTATGATTTTAAATTTAGCCTAAAAGTGGATGGATGGTTTTGGTTGATTGATTGATTGATTATAGGTGCTAGGCAAGGTACCAACAATCTCTGTTGATAAAACTGATGGATGCCAGATGTACCTGAGCCAAGAATCGTTGGATGTAGAGATTATATCCTCCAAATCGTCTGAAATGAATGTCCTAGTGCCCAAAGGAAATGGTGATTTCGTGAGTATCAGTTTAAATTTATATGCCTTGGTGGAAAGATTAGTTGGCAGACTGGACTGTGAATACCCTTTACTTGACTCAGTCTAGCCAATTCTGAACCTGAAACTTGTCACAGGAAGTATTTTTCCTGTATTATCATGTTCCCCATGAGAATTTGATAAGTCTTGATAAATATCTTAACTGTGCATTATGGAATAAACTCCCCGTCATGCACATAAACCCAGTCTTTATGAAGTTTTTGCTCTGTTTCAGTGTTTTACATATTTCCACTTTCTGTTTCAAAGTCAAAACAACACTTCTTCACTAGTTCTTGTATGGGAGTCTTCTTATGTGACACAGTTGATGGAGGGGTACGTTTTAATATGAACACAAATTTGACTAGCCTCTGCTGCGATCACAGATCATCAAGACTCTCATGGATGAAAATTCTGAATGTTTTGATACTAGATAATCAGCAGTTTCCTGTATGTGATCTTCCATGAAACTCTGTAGTTAAGAAATTCCCTGTATTTATCTTACTTGAATGTTCATCACAGTAACTGCTTCCTCCTTTCTGCCAGTCTTATGATAAATGATAAAGTAATGTAGATTACGGGAAGTGGGGTCTGAGTCCCCTTCTCACCAAAGTAGTGCAATGCAGAAATGCCTGAAGATGTTATTGCCTACTTTTTGATGGATTGTGTCTTTTTAAGGAAAAAATTATGGCTTCATATTCTGAAGGTGGTGAAATGCAAGTAAGAGTTACTTAATTATGTAGATCTTATCTCTATATGATTGCCTCATATTAGGAAAAGAGAAGATTTTCTTTGTCAGTTTTCTACTGTTTTAGCGTAGTGATAAAATGTAAGTTGAAAATGTAGTTCTGAATTCTGTAATCTCAAGGAGATTATTTTGAAGAATATTGAAAGATGTGTCAGATTTTAAATGTGGTTTTCTTAAAATGTATGTGATCCTAGAACTTTTTAGTTTTTGAAGATAACCCAAAAGAGGATCAAAGATGAAACAGGCGTGAGGCTCACATTTCAGCTGCTGCATCTTCTGTTGCTGCTGATGATATTAACAATTATGTAACTCTGGTCTTACCAGCAGGGATCTTTCCTGTCTTTGTGGTGCTGTTGCACATTTTTGGAATGACTTCCAGCTTAGGGAACTCAAAAGATGAAGGTTGAATGGACCCATCTCACTGCCCTGTATTCAAGTCTAGGTGCAGAGCCCTGACCAGAAGCCATGTACACCCACATACTACCTTATGTTGTGTGGGGCCCACGCAGCATAGACACTTTTACACTTGTATTGTTCTGATGTATTATTGGTGACAGGTGTGCAACTCCTCTGAAGCCACATATACATATGCATGATACAGAATGAGGAGCCATAGGTGGTTATTCGTCTGATAGGCATCTTAAAGTTGGAGTTCACCGTGGTGTAGGACTTAGGTTTGCAATTTTCAGTGATATTCTAGAAGGATAACTTCCCTGAAGTATTTCTTCAGGTCGTATAGTGGTAGTAGCCCTTGACCACCACAGCCTACAACTGCCAAGAATTTGAACCCATCTCTAGGTACGAGTTGGTATCGGAAAGCTCCCAGATTGTTACTGTTGTAACTGCCTCTGTGAAAGAAGATGAGAGGGGAGGCCAGGGTCACACTTCCAAAAGCCTGTTGCATCAATCTGTCACGTGACACTGCGCTGTGAACATGCATTGCTTTTACATGCACACTTTTTTGACTTCGTGTTGTCTGCAGTGGATGGCAAAATTGAGCAACAGTTTTTTGTGAAGCTTGGTAAACCCACTAACGAAACCTTGAAATGCTTTGTTAGGCTTTTGGAGAACATTCTTTAAACCAGACAGTTTTTGAATGATATCCATGTTTCAAGGCCAGTTAAATGTCACTTGAAGATGACAAACATTCAGGGCCACCAAACACCAGCAAAACGACAGAAAATGTTGAGAAAATTTGAGAACTCTTTCAAGAAGATCGTTGCCAAATAATCTATGAGCTCACAGACAGCATTTGGATTAGTTATGGAATTTTCCAGGAGATCTTAACAGAAAATTTGAACATGTGCCACATTGCTCCTTCATCACAACAATGTGCCCGCCCACGTCTCCCTGAAAACCACAGATTTTGTGACTAACAACAACATGGTTGTCATCCCCCATCCTCCCTACTTGCCGGACTTAGCCCACTGTGATTTCGCTTTGTTTTCCAAATTGAAAATGAAGCAGAAGGGATGACGTTTCGAAATAGTGTCTGACATCCAAAGGGAATCGCAAGCGATACTCGACAGCAAAACAATGATGGGATCATTGTATACTTTCCCAGTGAGACTATTTTGAAGGAGATGGCAGCCAAAATTGTGTAAGTTAAGCTAGAATTTCTTTTTTGACCTAGTCCGGGAACTTTTCGATACACCTTGTACATTCAGTGTCAAAATACTGGGCTCAGAATTTGTAACATCTAAACTTAAGGATACTGAAAAGTGATTGCTTGATATCAATCCATTTTATATTCAAAAAGCCCTAGTTTGTATGGGTGGGCACATTATAAATACAGGTTGATTCTTGAAGATACTTGTGTTCAGTCTTTGCTATGAGAAACAAGGAGAGGCACTTCTAAATGTGAAACTCCTCTATATCCTCTTCATGTTGTGAGGCACACATCTCTTAACTTCTCCCAGGAAGTTGCTACCACTGACTCCTTGGCTGGAATGTCTGACCAATACATTCAGACCTATTTTTCCAATCATTGAATATCAGAAGCAACATTGGGGTGTGGGATGACAGACCATTCCCTATGAGAACTGTGTCTCAAATGTTTGAAATTCCTAACTTGCCCAGCACTGTGAAGTATGAAGTGGTCTCAGTTCATCCTTACATTCTTAACCTGATGCATTGCCAGAGATTTTGGCACTCACAGCAGTGGTGCGTCTAGCCTTGTGTATGCAGTTGCAATAAGAGTGAGCATGGTGAGGCACCATGGCTTAACCCACCTCACTGTATGAACTGCACCAGAGCATGTTCATCCGATGACAAGAAATTTTAATTTACCTGGCCCCATCAAGGTAGGTTAGTCCCTTTTCTAATGGGGGAGGATGTATAGCAGGCATCCTAATGTTCCCATCTTTTGTTCTTTCGTTCAACAATTTTCTTGCATTATCTGTTGGGAGGATGAATGCTACAGCACCATTCATTCCTGGAAGGGAGCTTTGAGGTACTGTAGCACTCAGCATGCAGCGGAGAATTTGATCTCCTTCCAGTGTATCTGTGCCAGGGCTCAGCATCATTGTGCTTGAAACCAGGCATCCTTAATGGGAGGTGCTTGTATGTAGGCTTTCCAGGGCCACATGTTCAGATGTTGTTTAGAAGAAACCACTGAACATGTCAGGTAGGTGCAGTTGCCTTCCATATCTGGCATATTGGTTGATGGTACTACCATAACATCCTAAATAGACATTGTCAGTGCATTCCAAACTCATTTTTTCAGTCTTCTGTGACTTTGAGAAAACATATAACACAACATGGTGATGCAGTACCCTAAGGACTCCTCCTGAGGTAATATTTGGGGTCAGCTGCCACTATTTCTTTTGACCTTTCCCCATCATCATTGTTTCTGTGTTGTTTCATAATGTTCCTTCTGCTGTTTATCAACAAGAAAATAGGGCACCACAAGGGTCTGTTTTAAGTGTGAACCTTCTCGCTATTGTGATCAGTGGGATGTTCAATGCAGTTGGTCTGTCAGTGACAGTGCAGTCTATTACAGTTCTGGGAGCATAACAATAGAGCATCAGCTACAGATTGCTGTCAATCATATATCACACTGGGCTCTGCAGAACACACATTCTCCTTCCTCGCAGCAAAGACTCAGTATGTATGCTTCTTACAATTGCAGGGGTTTCATTCTCCCCAGGGTCAGGTCCTCAAGAAGAGCACTCTGCCATTAGTTTCAGCCATCAAGTTTCTAAGCCTTCTTGACAGGAGATTCTCATGGGAATCTGACTTGTGATGATTCCGCATTAAGTGGAAACAGTCTCTTGACATTTTAACATTTTAAAATGGCAGGTCTTGGGACAGAGACTGGCTGGAGATGTTTTGACTTTACTGTGTCCTGATCTGCTCTAAAATGGACTATGGAAGCTTCATTTATGGCTTCTCGGTGAAGTCCAAGTTGTCCATCCCAGACCTTGTCCTCAACACCGGGATTCACGTTGCCATTTGCTCCTTCCTTACCAGGCCTCTGGAGAGTCTGTATGTGGAATATGGAGAACTTCCATTCTCCCTGCATAAGAAACTCTCTCTCTACAGTTTTGTGACCAAGCTGTCAGCACTGCCTCATCATCTGCTTTTTGGTGCAGTCTTTCACAAAACTTACCACAAGAGTATGTGTTGTAAATCAGGGTCCCCCACCCAACTTGGTGTGTGTGTGTTTACCAGCTTCTTGAGCAGCTTGACATCCATTTGCCATGTATTATTCCCGGTAGACTCTCAGATCCAACATTGGTATCCCATATATCCAGCCTGTGATTTTCAGCTCATAAGACACAGTGGGGGGGGACTAACTGTTTAATTTCGTCTTTTTACACTGTATGTTCTATGATGAGTTGTACCATGACGTCAGTAATGATTGTAAGAACATTTAAAATGTTTTTGGTGTTTTTGAACAATATTGTGCTGTCCCAATTGATTTTAAATTAGTTATATTTTTTGCCATATACAGATTTATATGTTTTTGGGTTTGGTTTTTTATACTTGGATTGTAGGACCACTGTGATGGGCCCCTATGCAGCCTGGATTCTTAAAGAGAGAATATTTTAACCAATTGTTGAGCATATATTCCTTTTCTGGTCCATGATTCTATCGTGTTTTCCCTTGAAATCATACAGATAAATCTTACCACTGTTGCTTTGAGAATTTTAAGTGTAATTTGAATACAGATACAAATGATCTACCAGACATTTTTAGCCTTTTTTTGCCTATTGTTATTTTAGAGGATGGAATTTGACTTCCCCCAGACATTGGCCAATCATTTTAGTTACTGGAAGTTTGGTTTTCTCCAGTCTTCCTGCAAAGATGTTGAGTTAGGACTCCCCAAATAAATCAGAGTTGCTCTTTCCCATCATCCCAGTCTCTTTCAGCCTAGTAGCAATAGTGTGGAACTTCAAAAACAGGAACAAACAGTTTTACCAGATGGACAAATTGGTCTCACCAATTTCAGGATAACCAGTCTCTCTATCGACATTGCTGTTGTTGGAGGCAGACTGAATCTAAGGTGTGTTTTTAGATGTACAGTGGAATTTGTGGTAACACTTGTGCTTCATTAATTTAGTATGTCTTGTAAACAAGTGGCACAAATAGTTATATTGGTCAACTTAAAGGCAGTAATGAATTTTCCAAAGCTTTATACACAGGAATATGTGTATGCACATAGAAAGAATGTTCAGTGAAGTAAATTTTGTATTGTGTTAGCTCACTTGGTACACAACTCTTACAGAATAAAACAATATCACAGAATTTTCTTTTACCTTTAGAATTTACCAGAAATTGTGACAAATAATAAAATTGAAATTAAGTATTGACCTATGTTGACAAATGCATACACAGATTGTTTTTACAGAGATAGGCTGGTTGAGATGTGTCAACTCTTGTGGGTATCTTTTGCTTTCACTTCTGCTGTCTTATCACCATGCCATGGTATGTCATCTCTTGTAGCTACCATTTGCTTATATTTCTGCCATCTTATTACAACCTTTATAACTGGATTAAACACGTATAACCAGGGCAATTTAGTCAACTGCAAATACCTCCAAATTGAATGACATATGACTTACTTAATGATGAAAAAGTGGTTTTAGTGAAACATTTTTCTATCCTGGATCTCCAGTGCTCTATGACAGTACACTCCCACTAGTCTGCTAAGATCATTAGGCAGTGCCTTACCATTAGTCTGTCACTGTTTTCCTGGCCCTTTCCACTAGTCTCATGAGAAAAATCCCTGGTGCCTAACCACCAGTCTGCTAAGAACATTTCACAGTGCCTAACCACAAGTCTTCTGGGAAATCCCCCAGTGCCATGCAACTTTACTGCTTATAATATTCCTTAGTGCCTTACCACTAAGGTTACTGAAAACAGTCCATCCGGAGCCCACAGAACAATTCAGCTGTCACATGGATGGATATTATCAGTGGCAAAGAGATAAGGCACCTGTGGAGACAACAGTAATTTACATTGTGGCAGTAATGTCAATGAAATGTAGGAAGAAGATGCAGCATAAACTGGATTTTTATATTTTTTACAATAATTAGTATGAGTTATTGTGATAGTATTTTGATAAAGCTAAGAAGTGTACTCATATTGGTTTGGTCCCTTCTTTGAGGTGAAGGTACTCATTTGTGAATGGTTGAAGAGGTTTTATTAGCCATTCAGCTCTGCATTTGGCTGGCCTGTATGTGTTTTCAAATTCTGTGGTATCTTTGATTTGCCATTCTCATTCTTCTTATGGGTCACTTATTGCAAGAATTTGTATGTTTAGTTTTCATGCACCTTTCTGTTTTAATATTTAATATGAAGATATTTGTCAGGAGCTAGGATAGTTTTGTCAGGTAATTGACTGGGGCTCTGGACTAGTTTGCAGAGGTTTAGTGTTGGACAGAGACCAGAGTTGTTTGCATTGTCATTGTGTCAAGACCAGCACTGAGGCCCACTTGGCCTCCTATCCTGAGCACTAGGGTTTTTTTTTTCCATGCCAGCTGTCATGAATGGGGTTTGACTGTTTTGTGAAATGAATATAATTCCTATTCATGTTTACATCAAATACTATTGTGATACTGTGTCACTATGAGGTATTTTGTAGCAGTGCTATTAGCTTTCAGAGACTGGTAATGTTACTTCTCAAAACCTGAGATTAGTAAATGGAAGTTAATGTTGTTCCTGTGCTTAAGTACTGTGTTGTGAAGATGTATGTGTGCATGGAGGTAAAAATGCCATGCATTCTAGACCTTTGCACTAGCTGGCTGGCCTCACACAAAACTGTTTGAACAGTCAGTGAAAACCTAAGTACAGGGAGAAATGAAATTAAGCTCCATACATTCTTAAATTTGACACAAAGCAGAGATTAATTGTGAACTGTGTTCCCCATAACTATACCCCTGATAGCCAGGCAGGGTGAGTGCCTGAATCATTTTGCAAAGATAAAAATCCTTGTACCTGCCAGAAATCAAATGTCCAACACACAGTTGGTCATGTTATTGACTGAGTTGGCCCTATGCTGAAGAACCACTACTGCATTTTTCATTGGTAAGGGTACAGTCTACTGGGCAGTGCTGTGGCTTGTGTAAAACCATTGCCTTGCAAGAAGAAAATACACTGTAGTATGGATAAAGAAATTGGCATGAAACATGATCCACTGATAATAAATTTGGCATCATCCAAAGCATGAGCTAACAACAGACACTCCTGAAATATTGTAAGTTATATTTTCAGCCTTTCTTTTGCATAGTTCTATGAGAAAGAAAAAGAGTTGCACCAATTTCCAGCATTTGCACCAATATGTACAGCAGAAACTTCAGTTTGTACAGTGAGAGATAATCAGTAGAATTGTTATTCTCTCTTACTAGTTAATCTCAAAGAGGTTGTACATAGTATTTTCACAGAAAATGTTTCACTTATCGATAGGTCCATGACCATTTTCACAAAACTGTCAGTCACACCCAAGTTTTTGACCACAATATTTTGGGAAAAAATGTGGCTTAAATAAATATTGTTTGTATTATTGGTACATAACAGACAGTAGAGTTAAAGCACAGTAATAGTATTTTAGTCATGACAAACAATTGATAAACACTGTTCCAGTTTTAATTTCATTCTGTATAAACTCTACAGTTGACATAGAAACAAACTAAGGAAAATATAAGATAAACATGCACTCCTACCTCTTGCATGCCATCGTTTCATTGTATTATTGCAAAATGTTTTCTTACAGGTGGAGTTTCCTATTCCAGAACAGTTTAAGACCACTGTTAATCCCAAAGGTTTGGTAACAGTAGCGGTTGAAAACAATGGGTAAGGCAAGGATTAGAAGAGAGAAAACCAGTTGGCTGTCTTCACCACAGATGTCACTGTCATGTTCAGCATACTGCGTGACTTACCCTCCAGAACACCGGTGTAGCAATTCCTGATTTCTTAACCTTGTATTAATTTTCCACAATCTGTTAAACCATAATAGAACCTGATTGTATTTTAAAACTTTGAGACTCTTGTTTGGCAATAATTATATGGTGTAAAATATGTCTTGCTAAGGATATTACTGATAAAGAGTGAAATATTTTCTTTCAAGGGAAGAAATTATGTGATGTGAAAATTGGAATTACATTTAATGTTAATTTGTTCTGTGATGAAAGCATTGGTTACAGATCCTGCAACTTGACAGTGAGTCTCAGTTTGTTCCCATTAGACAGAACTGGTGGTGGGAGGAATATTCAAAACTGAGGGTTCAGTCCAAAGACTGGTTGAATAGGGTGAAACCCATGGAGTTAAATATTGTAAACTATAATACATTTGTTAATATATCTGGACTTTGTGTGTTTTGGATAAGATATTAACAATTTTTGACTAACATAATTTTGAATTGATAAGGAAACTTTTTTTAACATAGTGGGTTGTGCTTTCTAGTTCCTTGTACTGACCTAGATGTCCTTGTCTTAACCTTGAGAGAATAATACCAGGATTTATATATTTAGGTCATAAATAATTTTACTTTCCATTTTGCTGTCTCCAATCCCATCATTACACCAGAATAATGGTTTTGAAGCTTGTATGCTTTATTGTATGTGATATTTTTATGTGTGAATGTATTATATATGCTTTTACCATGAACTGTCACCATGTGGACTCTTGTTTCATCTTTGATACAGTAAATGGAATTTTTGGAAGTGTTGTCTTCCAGTCTACATTTTTGCCATGTTTATTACTGATATTGATACCAACCTTTAAATCTGGAATGTATATTTGGCTTGTCCTGTGTTCCACAAGAGATTCTTAACCTTTTTGCTTTCAACACACAACCTCCTAAGTTCAAGCTACATCTTACCCACATCCCAAATTTTGTTTTACAGTGAGGTTCATGATGTCAAGACATTTTTTATGCTACACTGTGAAGCAAACATGGTACATTTTGGTGGCCTTGCTATCCTTTCTTCATTTCACCTTCAGCTGTATTGGTCAAGTACATCAGGACTGTAGGCCTCCTGCCAAGGTAGATTTCCGGTTTCCTTTAGCCAGTGACCAATGCTTTATGACACTAGGCATGTACAGCTGCATCATCAGGGAACTGATACAGAGACAACAGGAACAAGGATGGAAAGTCATGAAAACCCATATGCTGAAGGAAGGAAGCCACCTTCAAAGAATATGCCATGACATGATTTCTCTACCTTGTCATTATGAAGGTAGAAGTAAACACAGAGAAAACTTAGTATGTGTTGATGTCTCACCACTAGAATGCAAGGCAGAATCATAACATAAAAGATATTTACTATAGGATTCTGATGATGATGTATAACACACAGAGATATTGGGTTTTCGGACTTTATCCATCGTCCTGGTTTTTAAACTAAGAAAAAACATGACATTTCAGAAACTGGATCTGTTTCCGTCCTCAGGTGAGGGAAAACACCTATTCACCTCAATCACTGGACGATTGAGTGATTGAGGCTAGCTCTTTCTAAGGGACCCATCAGAATAGGTGTTTTCCCTCACCTGAGGACGGAAACAGATCCAGTTTCTGAAACATCATGTTTTTCTTAGTTATCTTAAAACCCAGGATGATGGATGAAGTCCGAAAACCCAATATCTCTGTATAAAGATATTTGATTCATGAGAAAATTAAGAGCAGATTAAATTTGGATAAATCTTGCTACCATTCAGTTCAGAATCTTTTGCCTGTAGTTTTATATGGGTGTGAAATTTGGTCTTTGAGATTAAGGGAAGAACATGAACTGTGAGCATCTGAGAAAATGATGCTGAGAAGAATATTGGAATCCAAGGAAGCTGGGTTAAATAATAAGGGGAGGAGGATGAGATGGGCATGACATGTAGCATGTATGGGGAGAAGAGGAATGCAGACAGGGTTTTGGTGGGAAGGCCAGATTAAAGGGACAGGTAGGAAGACCTAGATGTAGGTGGGAGGACATTATTAAAATGTATTTTAGAGAAATAGGATGGGGTGGTATGGGCTTGATTCATCTGAGGATGGGGACTAGTGTGGGCTCTTGTAAACACAACTATGGACCTTTGGGTTCCATGATGTTAGGAAATTCTTGAATAACAGAGCAACTGTTGGCTTCTCAAGAATGACTTAGCTCCATGGGATTAATATGATGGCCACTTGATACTTGTCAACTGTTCTTAGTATGATGAATTTGTCTCAGAATGGGGTCCAGTGACAGCCATTTGTGAACACAGTTCCATAAAGGCAGGATATTTAACCAATGGTGTAACTTGCTGTTTTAACTTAGTGTCTGTTATTCACAGTCTTACATGCAACATCACAATCCAGAGAACTTGTTAACTTTGAAAGTTTAGAAGTTCACTACATACTTTGGCCAATATGGCCATCATCAGGTGTTAAAATCTTTTTGATGAGGAAACTGCTATCTTCTGTCATTAATATATATGCAGGTCCCTTCAGTGAGCTTGTGTGTTGGAGTTGGTGCATTGTGTTCTTCCTTGCTGTGTGTTTTGCTGCATGTCTTGTTCCTGAATGACCTAATGATTGTCATGTTGGCCGAAACATATAGTGAACTTTTAAACTTTTAATGTTAACAAGTTTTGTATGACATGGTGCACATGGGACTGTGAATAACAGACACCAAGTGAAAAGTGTAACAGGATGTTACAAAATAATATTACTGTTTTAATGAATAAGACTATACAGGGTGTCCCAGGAGGAATGTGCCAAACTTCGGGAGGGTGTTCCTTATGTTAAAGTATGCCGATATAACCCAAAACACCTATGTCCAAAGTTGAACGGTTACGGAGATAATGGCCCAAGAAAAGTGTGGTCTTCTGGCAGGTCCAAGCACTGTACCTCGCTGTACCTCTCAGCTGAGAGCCCTTATCTATGTTTGTCCTTGAGTGCGATGATACTCCCTAGCCGTGCTTATGTAGTTGGCTCATACCAGAACGCGCAGTCAGCACGTTACGTCATCGCTCGCCAGTCATGTGTTATGTATACTGCTTGGAAACCTAAGGACAATTATGACATGGCGAGCGAGTATTTTGTACTTCAATTTTATGGCTTTCCGTCACTCACAAGTTGGTTTGATGTTACGTACATTATTAACATTACAGAATCCACATATTCCTGCCAGTTTTAATATCTATTTTGTAATCAACAAGTGTGTAACCCCGGTCAAAGTTTGACACTTCTCTGGCCATTATCTCCGTAACCGTTCAACTTTGGACATAGGTGTTTTGGGTTATATCGGCATACTTTAACATAAGGAACACCCTCCCGAAGTTTGGCACATTCCTCCTGGGACACCCTGTATGTGAAATTAGCTTGAATTCTGGTGATAAAAATATCAAAATGTATATTTATTTAACAACTTGATATCTGGTGTACAAAACTCTTATAAACTTAGAAAGTTAAAAACAGCAAATATTTTGTTCACAACATAACTGTAAACACACAAATGTTAGCGCGCGCGCACACACACACACACACAAATGAAGACTCGAACGTGACTTCATTCTCACATTAAAGACAGCCTGTCTCAAACTTTCACTCACCCCCACATAAGGCAATCATGTGGTCAGTGCTGGCTTGTGTGACAATCAGCAGGGGCTGCATGTTGGTATATTCCTACATGATTATGAAGTCAGACCATTAAATCGTCTAGACCTCATTCCTAATAGATCTGATTCTCTAACAGCTTACTCAGTCATATTCATGTTTTAAGAGGAATCTTCCTCCAGATGTGTCCAACATATGATCCTTTTTACAAGAAAGGCAAAAGTTGCAGTCAATAAATCAAAGCACCATTTTTGTGTTCATTAAAAAATATAGGCCCATACCTGAAAATTAGTGGGCATGAGAAAAGCTACCACAGAAACCCAGTACAAAGTCAAAACAATATATTTCACTTTAGTTCTTGCATGGGAGTCTTCCTTGGTGACCTATTGGATTAATGGGTGAAATTTACAATACATATACCGTAACATGGTCACATATTCAACTGGCCCCTTAGTATAATGGTACTTGAGAGAGTGTGGTGTTTGTGAGAACTACCACGTGGTTGGTGAACATATTTACATTGAAAATTTGTTTCTTAAGCATTTGTGATTCTGGACATGGTTTTTCATTCATACAGTACTTAATGTAAAATTTCAGCCTCTTTGCAAAAGCCAAATAAGACAGCGGCCAAAAATATTCTTTCATGTCTTTTACAACAATTTTTATTACAGCGGTACTGTAGCACTACACGAGAAACTGAAAGGTAACAAGTGACTCAAGAGGGATTTGGGAGGAAGCAGTTGAAGTTCTACTTAAAGTACTATACTGGCATTTGCATAGGACTGAATAAAACCACAGAAAATCAGGGTGGCCACTCCCCAACTGGGTTTCAAGTCTGATGCTTCCTGATTATAGGCCATATTTGAAAGTAAAATCATGCCAGGTGCAGAATGAGCAAGTATGGTTTCAGAGAAATTCTGTTTCCTTCTCTGATTCCAACCTTCAGTAGTGAAGATGTTCCTCAAGGACAGTACATTCATAGTTTCAAATGAAATATGATTTTATGGAAGGGAGAATAAAGGCACTAGCATGGTATGGGGCTGTACCTCCTGAAACGCAATTTTAGCAGAGCTGATAATGTTCTATATGGAAGGCAGTACTAGACTCCAATCCAATCTGAACAGCCACGGGATTCAGATTTCCAAATATCATTGTTAGATTGAACACTTTCTTAAATTATTCAAGGCTGCTGTTGCTATTGCAGAGGTTCTATGGCATCAAATGAGATGGGAAGATGTTCATGAATGGTAAATAGGGAGCCATGTTAAGTCTTTGAAGCAAAATCTTGTATATGGCCTGGACATAATTGGAAGCAGTACTTCCCAAACAAGTCTGCTGCTACACAAAACTGCAAAACATGTGGCTCTTTATATGCTGAATAGAAACAGATAATGAACTTCATCAGCTGCAGAGGTTATTTAGCATGAAACAAAATTAAAGAATCATTACTTATATATTGCAAAGTAGAGTAAATGAAATGGTAATTGTGGCATTTGTCTTCTGGGACTGAGGAAAATCATGAAAACCTGTCAGGATAGCCAGTAACCTGGGCACAGTTCAAACCAAGTACTTCTGAAGTCAAGTCTAGAGAGTTACCACAACACCAATCTGTTTGGTAGTGGTTTTACACCTAAACAAATGTGAAGCTGGTTGTAATGTTTATCTTATAAAAATCATCAACTGCAGAGGTTATTCAGCAGTAAGTTAAGAGGCTAATAATGTATGGTGAAGTGTAATGGACAGGGAACAAAGAAGCTGTAAACATGTTTCAAGGTGCTGTTCCAAATTAAGACTTACACCAAATAAAGATTTTCATTGCTTACAGATGCAATGTATCTCAACATATAGGATGAACAAATGGGTTTGAAGACATTAAGCTGTATCACTTGTCAAACATAGCAATTACCTGTTACCAGCATTTTTAATGTAACACCAAAGGGAAGCTGCCGTGAACACAAAACATGTTCACATAAGCAGAAGTAAATGAGACAGGCAGTCTTCACAGAGACAACATTAAAAGCTTTAGAATACTAGAAGACACATCAAATATTCAGCCATTATGGACACTGAACACAACTTAATATCTAGACTTGTTTCATGTATCTATCTTACCACACCCAACAACTTCATAAACAGCGTAGCAACTGCAATAGAAATT